ACGAGGGTTGCCACTGGCCTGCAGGCGGGGAGGAGGAGGAGGAGGAGGAACGATGGCGGTTCGTGTTTATTTGACGCGCAAACTACAGCATCTGCTATGTTGGTTTTTGAAACTCGAGCGCTCGAACGGCCGTGACGTGTGGCCTAGGATGAACATCGTCGTCGTCGGTCGTGGTCCCTATGACATTCCTGTGCTGCCCATGCCCGTGCTGCCCATGCCTGTCTTCACGTTGTCTGCTGCAGCATCACTCATAGACACGTCGTCACCCTTGATATTGATCATCTTCTCCAGCTGCTTGATCCTCTGGTCCTGCTCCTTGATCCTTTGCTCAAGGAACTCGATATGCTTGTGATATTGGTTCTGGTTGTTTTTGTTTATTCTGTCGATTAGTTGTACATGAGCAATCACTGCCGAATAATTCGTATGCGTGTTATTTATTTCCCTCTGGAAATTTAGTGCAATCATGTCCATTTTTCCCATGTTTGCGGCCATTGCCGAGTTCTCGCCCTTGATTTTATCAAACTCCTTGCACAGGAAGACATGCTGTGCGCAGGCCTCGTGGCACTTACCTCCATCACTGGTCGCCGCGTATTCGAGCTGGTCCATGCGCCGCCAGAGCTGCGTCACCTCTTTGATTTTGTAGTCGGCATCGTCCATGCGCCACTTGAGATGCGTCAACTCTCCTGGCCCATCTCTGAGAAACCATTCTATTTTTCATCGTCTGTATACTTGTGCCCCCCTGTCATTGCCGGGTGGCGGCTGGCGCGCCGCGCGCCCGCAGGGGGCGGGGGCCGGGCGGCGGCTGGCGCGCGGGATGCACCCCGCCTGACCCCGAATGGCGACGATGGTGGCCCTCCTCCTTTCCCCTCCGCGTTGAAGACAGGATTCTCGGGGCTGCGAACTGCGAAACTGTTCGCACTTTCGCGGGTTCCTGGGAGGTCCAGCGGAGCGCGGTCTCAGAGGCACCCGAGTCGACTTATCGTCATTCTCGCGCGGCCTCGGTGGGCCAACGTTCGCGGGGCTGGGGTGATCGGTTTCCATCCCCTGAGAATCTCCCCGATCATTGGACTACCCCCTCCCCATGGAGGACCAGGGTGACAGGAGAGCGGGCCTGGAGGAGGAGGAGGAGGAGGATGGGGTCATCTTGTCAGCGGAAGGTCAGCGCATGCGCGTTGAACTTCACTGTTTTTAAGGGTGGGTTCACAAGAAATGTACGATGATTTTGAATACTGTGTTCGTGCTTTTTGTTAACTCTCAACCTACAGCATATAATTCACTATGCGCTGAGTTCTACACCTGGAGCGCTTGGGCGGCTTTGAGCTGCGGCCTCGCCTATGGCAATGGCCTGGCACCAACTGCGCGACTAGGCAGGCGGCTGAGAGTCTTCGGGCATGTCGACATCTATCGGCCGGCCGTCCTCGTCGAGCTCAACCTCTCCATACACGTCGCTCTTCTCGACGACGAGGATATCGGAAGATGTGTTTTTTTTTGTTTCTCGAGCGTCTTTGTTCTGATTGGGCCAGCGGGACGAGGGGCCACCCACCTCTAATCCGTTTTTTTCCCGGGAGCTCTGGGATACAAATGAGAAGCGCCTCCCAAAGAAACGCCGATGAGGCGGATCTCGGGGCAGCCCTGGAGCCGTTGCATCAGCGCGGCTACAGCAGCAGAGGGGTCTCTCATCTCCACTCCGTTTTTCCCGAGCGCTCTGGAAAACAAATGAGAAGCGCCTCCCAAAGAAACGCCGACGAGGCGGATTTCGCGGCAACCCCGGAACCGCCCCATCAGCACGGCTACAGCAGCAGGGGGGCCATTCATTCTACTCCGTTCTTCCGGGTCGTCTTGGGATAGAAACGCACAGCAGCTCGCAAGCCAACGCCGACGGAACTCGGGGCAACCCCGGAACCGCACTGAGGGCACGGGGCGGAAGGAACTTGGGGGAGCACGAACAGCATCAATGATAGGCCGCCGTGGGGAACTGCTGGGGAAAAACGCTGCACTTGCTCGACTATATTGTCTGGAAGGGATCTCGCTGATTTCAAATCTCTCACTCGAGGTCGTCTGGGGGCAGGGGCTTCCCCTCCTTCTGGCTGGCGCGTGGCTGAGATGAGCCCGACGTTCCGGGCGGACTGGCCATCTGGATCACCTCCCACTTGGACTTGCTCATGTTCTGAATGGCTTGCCCCTGTTGCTGCATTACACTCATCGTGCACTCCATCGTCTGGCGATTCTCCATCATCATCTGGTCGGTGTTCTGCTGCTGGGCCTTCAGCGTGTTGATCTGCTCGATCTGCTCGTTCATCAGCGCTGAACGGCTCTTCTTCTCTCCCCTCTGGTTGTGCTGAGCCGGGCCCTCCGCCGCGCGCCTTAATAGGCGAGGCTGGGTTAGTGGAAGCTGCTCCTCCTCCATGGGCGTCTCCTCCTCCTTGGACGGGTCGGCGATCACGCGGCTGTAGTCCCCCCGATTCTCTCCGCGCACCGGGTTTGGTTTGATTAGACTGTTTTTGCACGTTGATTGCGGCCTGGGATCGGGGATCACCTCGGTGATGGTGCAGTTGAGAATCAGGCTGACGGACTTTGGTAGAGGACCCAGGGCTTTCAGCTGCCGCTGGTCCCTGTATGCGATCCGCTGCCCGCACCTCTCGCGTGTCCACCACTTGCCGCGCTTGTTGGACCCTGATGAGATCTCCACCATGGGATGGCGGCAGCTCATCTGGCGCTCTCTCAAGCGTCGATCCGTCTCTCTGGTCTTGAGAGTGAAGAGACGCCGCGCATGAAGCATGTTGCGCAGCTCGCGACTGATCATGCACGTCATACTCATTATCAGGGATGTCAGAATGATCCAATGCCTCTCGGCCAGATTGAGATCTACTGGTGCGTCGTTGTCCGTGAGAACATACTTCCCTGCGAACGCATGAACCGGAGTCCCTGACGCAGGCATCCCTCTCGGACAGGGCGGACAATCACTGATCGAGCGTCAACTGGTCCTTTTGCTTGAGCCAAGAGGATCTCCGGTGCGATGATGTTGCCAGGCGCAGATCCCCAAGAACGCGCCCGGACACGTCTGAATCGACAACCCATGGAAACTCCAAGCCCTCGTTTATCGGAAAGTCCCTGGAAAGCGCTTTGCCGTTGTTTTCGATGATGTTTCGGTCGTCGGCGGTCGTACACATCGTCTCTTGCTTTTGTGGGTCGTCGTCGTTTCGTCGAGTCGAGTCGTCGGAGCCTGCGGGGATTCCGCCCTTGGGACCTGGTCCGTCGAGCTGGGGCCCAGAGAAATCTTCCTCCTCCCCCTCCTCCTCCTCCTCTTCCTCCTCCTCTTCCTCCTCCTCCTCACCCTGCTCCTCCTCCGCCTCCTTCTTCTCCTCCTCCTCCTCCTCCTCCTCCTCCTAGAGCGGGTGCCATGCACGGATCGGGCCTTCCGGAGGTTCATCTTCCAGGGAATCCGTTTTCGGGCATCCAGGGTCGTCGACAACGACGTTCGGGGTCGAAATCGATGGACCCGAACGATTTCCGGGCCCCAGGGCCATCAAAAGCGCTTCCAAGAGTTTTTTGCATGCTCGCACGCTGGGGGATGTGTGCAGTCGCCCCCGTGGTGGAGGAATGACTAGGCTATACAGGCGACTCTCTCTCTCTCTCTCTCTCTCTCTCTCTCTCTCTCTCTCTCTCTCTCTCTCTCTCTCTCTCTCCAGGTCCTCGAGCCCCGCGCGGCCGGCGCCGTGTGCGGCGTGCGTCGCGCACAACCCCCTCCCTCGCCCCCCCTCCCTCCCTCCTCCCCCGGTGGTCGTCCGTCGTCGTCGTCGTATCAGCGTCATCTCTGGCCCTCCCGCTCGACCTCTTCATCTTCATCCGCCTCGTCATCCTCCTCCTCCCTTCATATTCTCTCACCCCTCCTGTCTCCGCCCTCTTCACTCCTCCCTCTTGCGCCCTACATGCAGATAAAGGCAGACTACAACACATGCAGAAGTAGACAGGAACGAGGGTTTTCAATGATACGAGGAAGGAGAAAGATGCGCTTCGACTGTGCCCGCGGCCGCCCGCGGGGCAACCCCGGGCGCGGACCTATCAACTATCCGCTCCTCGCGAGCCAGTGCCCCCACTCACGGGCGCAACGACTATGCACTCTGCACCGGGAGGAGGGCACACGTAAAATCACGTGCCAGTGCAACATATGTAAATGAAAGGATATAAGAGAGCCAGGGCGTAACGCGAGGCAACCCCGGAAGCGCTCCGTCTCCCTCGGACGATGCATGGTGCTGATTATGAGCTAATGGAGCGCGAGTGCGCAGTGGCACCGCGGCTGCCGCCGGCATGGCGCGAGAGCACCCTGAATATGACCCTGCGCGAGTGTGTTTTCTTGCGGTGTCTTTTGTGGCCCCCTGGTGAACCTCGTGGGGTCTTCTTGGATTTCCTTTGCGGCTCCTCGGGCATTCGGTTCGGAAAGTCTCGGGAGCTCCCTTTAGCAGGGCTCCGAGGGCTCCGACAGGATCCCAGGAAGGTCTGAGAGATCTCCAAGAGAGCCCCCCCCAAAGAGGCATAAAGTATATGCAAGAGTTGATCTCTTTTTGGATGATTTTGGGATCTACTGGGGGCCCTCATTGGGCCTTGTTGGATTCCTGGTGAGCTCTTTGGGGATTCGGAAAATCTCGGGAACTCTCTGAAACAGGTTCCCTTAGAGGGACAAAGTATATGCGCCTGCGTGACTCTTTTTGGGTGCCCTTTGGGATCCACTGGGGGCCCCTGGAGATTAGAGAGCCCTCTAATAATCTCCTGGGGCCTCAAGAAGCCCCAAGAGGCTTCCAAGAAGCCTCAAGAGGCTCCCAACAACCCCCAAGAGGCTCCCAGAAAACTTCCAACAGGCCCGATACTGAGCTCAAGAGGCCCCAAGAGGATTTCATTAAATCCCAAAAGGCGCCCAAGAGGCGCTCAGAAGTATCAGCCATCCACGAGATCCCAACCATTCATGAGGTTCTGATGCGCGGAGGTCGGCTGACGGCCGAAGTTCAGTCCGCTGTCACAGTGCCCATTACGCAGCCGGTCTGGAGAATGACGTCCATGAGTTTGACGATCGCCTTCAAGTTCTCCGGCCACTTCGGGGCCGTTTTGAAGAGAATTCCGGTGCTTGCAAGCGGCACGGGGGCTTTCTCTCGAATCGGCGCGGGGAGGCTCTGGTAGATCTTGTTGTAGATATCGCAGGGCTGTTCCTCCTCCTTGGCGCGCGCCTTGGCCCCCATCTGAGTGCGCCTTTTCATCTCGCCGCGGACGTTCCTCGTGGCCCGCGCGAGCAGCTCGGGCTCCGCATTCGTATAGCCCTCCGCTGACGCCGCTCGAGCGGCGATCTTCATTGTATTCTTGGCAGACATGAGCGCCTGCAATTGCTCGCTGCTGGCGCCCCGCGCCTTAGCGGACGCGATGAGCGTGTCCAAATATTTGAGGAACCGCTCGGGGTCGTGCAAGAGAGCTGTCTTGTGAAGCTCATCCGTGAGCGCGGCCAGGGCCCTGACGTCATCGGTGAGCTCGTCCTGCAGGGCAAGGTATTTGTCCATGGCGCCGAGCACGGCGCCCTCGATGGAGTTGTTGTTCTTGTTCCAGCGATTGATCAAATCCTCAGGCACGACTTCCTCCCACTGCGTCTCCGATCGCAAGATGAACATAGCGTTCCTGTGCTCGGAGTAGTGGCATTTCTTAGGGCATATCTTACAATGCCCATTCTCGTCCATTGCGATGCATTGATGCTTCTCGCCGTCATCGAAAGCGCAAATTTCGTGGCAAGTTACGTGGCATTTTAAGCAGAGGGTAGTCTTTTTCCCATCAGCAACCGGCTCTTCCTTGACGATGACAGTGCTGACCCTCACCTTTTCGCCCGGGCTGGCGCCCGCCGCCTCTGCGATCGCCCGCAGGTTGGCGAGGAGGCTCTGGGTCTCCTGGGCCGTGCGGAAGATCTTCTTCTCAGCGAGCTCGCACCGTTCCTCCAGCGTCATGCGTTTCGTGGTTACCTGCGCGCTCTTCTGTGTAGACACCGGCCCCATGCGCAGCAACATGTCCAACGCGCGCTTCTGGCCCGACATTGACATTTTCCACCAGTCGCGCACGTTGGCGTCGGTTGTGGACTGGGCTCGGAAAGCAGAGTTGTTTACTTGAGCGTAGCCTTTGTCCACGGGCCAACCAAGCGCTTTGAGATTGGCGACGGCCTGGGGTGCTCCCGCATCAGCGTGCGTGAGAACGGCACGGAGGCACCCATGCACATCCTTGCTGAAGAGCTGGAAGATGTGCGTTGCCACGGCAACCATGCCCGGGCTCGTCTTACCCTCGTTCGCCTTGCAGGTGAAGACTACGGCGTTGACGTGCTCGATCATCTTGAACAACTCTGCCATGGCGGCGGTAGTGAAGTTATCCGCCTCGTGCCCCCTGCAATCGCCATAGCCAGGCGTGTCCACAATGTACAGCGCATGCCCCTGGAATCGGGGCCCGAGGGGCCGCAATCGGTACACGCTGATGTGCTGGGTGACGGATTGCGTCGGGTCGGCAGCGCGGTCATCGATCAGCATGATGCGGTGGGTGCCCGCGAGGTCGCCGCCCAACAAGAACGAGACGAACGCGTTGATCTCCGTTGATTTCCCGGCCCCCGTGGGGCCAGCAAACATGAGGACGAGCGCCCGCGCCTCCTGCTCGGGGCCCAGAGTGATCTCGGGCTTGAAGTCGGACGCAACGTCGGCCATGATGGCAGCCAGTTTTCCTGCGAACTTGCCGCTCTCGCACGCTCTCCTTGCAACGGTACACGAGCCAAGGAAGAGCGAATCCTCCGTAGACTCCCAAGGCTTCTTGCCGCCGACCTTGTCAGTCCATCCCCCGGCCCCGGTCAACGAGCCGGGCCTTATTCTCATGGTAAAAAGCGATTATGTCCCTGGCGGCACTGGCCAGCTTGCCCGTCCGCTTGACGCTCGGAGGGGAGCGCGCCGAGAAGCCAATGTCGGAGCACGTCTGCACGCACACCTCGAAGTCCGCATTTGGACCCAGGGGGCCGAGTTCGCAGCGGCAAGCGCCCCCCTGCGCTCCCGGTACGCACTCGTAAGGCACTCCCGCAGGCACATCCTTCCACTCGACCGCCGCGTATTCGTCGACGCTCTGATCGAAGGTGTCCAAGTCGGCGTTTGGGCGGGGCCGCCAGAGCACGCGAAAGCTGCGGGGGGGCATCGAGTTCTGCTGCAGCCACTCCCACTGGACATGCATGGTCTGCTCGTTGCACCGCAGCTTGACGTTGTCTGGGGGGCCGGGGAAGAACTTGGAGATTATGCGGACCCTGCCATCGAAGAAGAGCACCAAGTCGCCGACCTGTCTTTTTCATCTTCTCGTCCGTCGACCAGACGGGGATTCCCTTGTTCACGATCCCAACCCCATACTCAGCGTCGAAGCTGGCCGCCTTGTTCTCGACCTGGAGCGCCGCGACGTCGGCGAAGGATTTCTGCAGCAGAGACGCAGTGGAGCTCCGATGGAACCACTCTTCCTCCTCCTCCTCCGAATCGCCGTCGACGGCGACGGCGTCGCATGTCAACGATGTCTCCAATTTGTGGCACGGGTTGTTGATGTCCTTTCCGGCCAGGGAGAGCAAGATGCGCGGCTTGCTGCTGCCGATGGCGGGCTGGACCTTGGCCACGGGGCCCATGTAGTTGGCAAAGCCGGTCTCCAACAGGAAATTGACAGTGGAAGCCAGCACAGCGGACTCCTGATTCTTCAGCTCCACGTACTTAATGGCAGGCTTCGTCTGGCGCGTCATGCGATCCACGGCGTGCTGGAGCTCAAGGGTGTCCTCGTCGGTGGTGCTGCTATCCCCGTCCCTGAGCTTCGGCACCAAGCCACGCACGGCAGTGCGGAAGGTAATGACGCAGGAATTAAAGGCGGTGGCGAAGTTTCTGCGCTGGGTCTCTACACATGGGAACGCATTCACTGCGACGCACAAGGACTCAGCAGACAAGTGAACGCCCTCTGCAGTCTCCAGAGCAGCAGATACGTCCTCCATGGTGCGCGCGTCGAGCCGCGTCACGACGCGGCGGGCCTCGGAGTCGACGAAGGACAGGGGGAGGAGCACCATCTTGAGCGAATTGTTCAGCTCACTCAACTTTGTGGGCAACTCCTTGCCGACCCGAGCCGCGTCCTCGATGGTGCCGACGGTTTCCTTGATGGCGCCGCGGACACCGATATCGGTGCCCTCGAAGTCTTCTTCCTCGCCCTCCTCCCAATCCATGCTCAGCTTGCCCGAAATGGGTATGAAAGCCTTGAGTTTTCCAGCCAGTGCGCCAGAAATCCGGGTCTGATCCTCCTTAGAGCTACACTTTTAGTGAAGGTGATGTTGCCCGTCCCCCCCTCGTAAACCTCCGCGACAACATGCGTGACGCGAGGGTCGTCGAGGAAATTTTGAAACTTCATGTTTTTCAAGAGCTCCATTGGCATGTACCTTCTATGCTTGACAACGGTGCAGGACACGTCCACGCGGGCTTCGCGCTCGTGGTGCTGCGTGTTCTTCAGGTACTGGGCGGACCCGCTGAGCGCGAAGATGCCGAAGTCGATCTCCACGGAGCCTTCGGCGTCGAGGTTGTGGTGCTTCCGGAGGTCCTTCATGCTGGTGGTGAAGTCGAAGGTCGTGTCTGGGCATGAAACGACCTCCTGCCCCGCTTTGATGTCGTCGAGGCGCCAGACGGAGATGCTTGGGATGATCCCGCCAATGCGGGCGTTGTAAAGCTGGCCAATTTCAACCTGCTCCCCACGAGTCGACTTAGTGATCACGTTCTCTGCGGCATCGCTGGCCAATTCACTCGCAGCGACCATCTGGGGAATCAGACCTAATGCGACACTGGATATGGAATGCGCTTGTAAAAGATATGGAATGGGTCGGTGAACCTGCAGCTTGAGCCACAACTGTTACGGAGGCGCTTCGGGGCCGTCTTGGAGGCGCCACGGGGCCACAATTGTTAGGAGGGCGCGCCCGTCGCTCACGAGCTCACGAAGGTCTGCACAGAGATCAACAAGAGCGTCCTCGAGATGAAAAATCTGACGGCCCGCCAGGAGGCCGTTTCATCGGCGGCGGCGCCAACGAGATCGCGGAGGCTCGTTCCGCTCGAGGGCCTGTGGAGATCTAGCAGCGAGACGAAAATCGGGAATCCAGGAGGCGCGAGCTGAGCTGGGCTGAATATTAAAGGTGATGGCATGGGGCATGAGAGATTGAAGAGTATATGGGGGGGCAATGACACGTTCGCACTTCTTGCCGCGCCGAGGGCGCGCGCCAGCGAGCCAGACTCCGCGATGTGCTGCGCTTGCTCAATCTGACCTCCTCCATTCTCTCCGACCTATCCTTCTCCTCCAGTCCTCTCCGACCGCCCCTTCCTCTCCGACCTCCTCCTTCCTCGCTCCAATTGCTGATGCATGGGGCATGAGAGATTGAAGAGTATATGGGGGGCAATGACATGTTCACACTTCTTGTCGCGCCGAGGGCGCGCGCCAGCGAGCCAGACTCCGCGATGTGCTGGGCTTGCTCAATCTGACCTCCTCCATTCTCTCTCCGACCTATCCTTCTCCTCTCCGACCGCCCCTTCCTCGCTCCAACTGCTGATGCGATGCACAGATGTTCGTATAAGCGACGTGGCGCAGTATCGCTGCACGCGGCCGAAAACGCGTTCGCAAACCTGATCTTCAGGATTTGCACGCGGCAGCTGCAGAACACGAAGAGGGGGGAGGGAGGGGGGGGAGTGGGAGGTAGGAGGAGGGAGGAGGGGCGGAGTGGAATTGGAAGGGGAGGAGGGGGGCTGAGGGACGTATGTTATCCTCCACCGTGCACGGCCGCTTCTGTCCCCTCCCATGGCAAGGGCAATCCGCGCCACTCTTTCCCCCAGGTACAACACGGCGTCCTCACCCCAACAGCCGCCCCAGGAGAGCGCGATGCACGCACTTAAGCGCGGCATGCTTTAAACGCGGGTGACAGCAGAAAATGCAACTTCGCGCGCCCCGATCGCACGAAGCAGCACGGCTGATGCGTCGTTGGAGGGGAGGAAGCGAGGGAACTTCAATGAGTCGAGGAGGGGAGAAGTAGATTAGCAAGAGCCGCCGAAGCCGATTTCAGGGCAGACCAGATGATGCCCGCAGCTTAGCTGAGGTCACTGAAAGACTGGGCCGACACAGCCGATCGCGGGGCATCCCCGGCCACCGACCTATACGCTCTTTGCAAGCCGGTGTCTCCAATCACCAGCGCGACGAGAATGCAGGAGGGGGAGAGGATGAGGAGGTGGAGAGGGAGGAGGACAAGGAAGAGAAGAGGATGGGGAGGTGCAGGGGCTAGGAGGATGCATTCGCATTCCTCAGGCCCCAGAATCCCCACCAGCAGGCACAGGAGGTATGTAAGAGTAGAGCCGAGCGAAATGCCAGAAACACTCTGGCGGCATCATGCGGAGCGGCCCCTCACGAGGCTGGATCTGGTTGGGGTCGACTTCTCCGCGTTCGAAAAGTTGGGCCGCACTTGCCCCGATCTCGTTGAACCTGTCGTAGTCCGAGAGCGTTGAACCTGTCGTAGTCCGATTCGGCGGTGGCGCTGCGGCAGATTCGTCGCAATGCGGCATTGCGACATCCTCGGCGTCGTCGTCGTAAGTGTTGGCGCAATACCTGGGGTCGCAGCGTTCTGACCCAACATCCCGCGTAGGATCCCGACCTCGAATCTTCGGCCATTGAACGATGCACTCTATGTCCCCAGGCGGCGGGTTACAGTCGGAGAAGCCATGGTAGTACGTGTTGCCGACAATGCGCCGCTCAGGGAATCGTCGTCGTTGACCAAGAAGTTTGGTTTCCGCGTTCTCTAGGTCCCGCATGCGTTGCAGCTGCAACGTCTGGAGCCGTCGCAGCAGCCCCGGAGGCGCTGCTCTGGAGCCGTTCGAGCCGCCGGAGGCAGCGCCCCGCGCCCCCGCGGCCGCCGAGCCCCCGAGCTCGCCCCGAGCGGCATCGTCTCCTGCAGCAGCAACCGCCTGCCCAAAATCCTGCGCGGTGTTTCCGGCATCTGCAATTGCTGAGCCTCCGCGCCCGCCCTCAGCATCAGCGTCTCTTGCTGGGGCAACCGCCGAGGCCCCGCGCTTGCCCTCAGCAGCATCGTCTCCTGCCGCAGCTCCTCCGGGCTGCCCCTGCTGCGGCTCGGGCTCTACCCACTCCTCGTTCATGGCCCGGGGGCGCGGCCGTGGGCCGCGATGGCTGTCGCGCCTGCCCTCAGCAGCAGCGTCTGCTGCAGCAGCAACCGCCGAGCCTTCGCGCCAGCCCGCAGCAGCAGCGTCTCCTGCAGGAGCAGCGCCTGTCACAGCTGCGGCCGCCGAGCTGCCCGGAGGTGCCGCAGCCGTCAAGCCCTCGTGAAAAACGCGCAGAGCCGTCGCCGAGTCGCCCATCGCCCTCGCGATGGACGGGTCAGGCGCGCCACCTGAGCCCTCGCGATGATCGGGCGGCGTGCGGGGTGCACGTCTTGAGCCCGCGGGCGGCGCGCGGGGCGCACGACCCGACTCCGCGCGATGAATGGGCGGCGTGCGGTCCTTCGGTGCCGGGCTCCTCACGCGCGGCTTGCCTGCCGAGCTCCACTCGCCCCAATCGTCGTCGGAGTCGTCGAAGGTCGCTGGCGCTTCTCCCCGCCCCGGCCCCCAGGCATTGGAGGCCGAATGCCTCGCTGAATCGGCTGGCCGCTTCTTCGGCCGCGGTTCGAGTCTCGGATGCAGCATGCCCCAATCGTCGTCGGAGTCGTCGAAGGTCGCTGGCGCTTCTCCCTGCCCCGGCCCCCAGGTATTGGAGGCCGAATGTCTCGCTGAATCGGCTGGTCGCTTCTTCGGCCGCGGTTCGAGTCTCGGATGCAGCATGCAGGTGCCGCCCTGCCAGTCTGAGCCAAATCGGCTACAGAGGAGGTCGACGAGGGGACGAGGAGGGTATGCGATCCTATGGGGCGTCGAAACGTGCGAGGGGCGCGCCAGAATGGGCGGGGGTCCCCGTGCGAATTGAGTCATTGGGGCTCTAGGTGGAGCTCCCTATGCTATGGGGCCACGCAACGTGTGAGGGGTGTGCCGAAACGGGCGCAAGGCTTGACCCAGGAACGTGAGGCGGGGGGTCCTCCTCTTCCCTGCTCCCTACTCTCTGCTCCCTCCTCCTCCCTCCTCCTCCTCCTCCCCCATCCCCCTTCGAATCGCTCTCCTCCTCGGCGAGGAGGGCGCGCCCCTCCCACTCCTCGCCCCCTCCCCCGCTAGCGTGAGTTCCTGTGAGTTACCGTGAGTTACCGTCAGTTACCGTGAACATGAATATGGACGGCCATCAAAAGCGCTTCTAAGAGTTTTTTGCATGCTCGCACGCTGGGGGATGTGTGCAGTCGCCCCCGTGGTGGAGGATTGTCTAGGCGACTAGGCTATACAAGCAGCCGCCCGATTAGGCTATACAAGCAGGCGCCCGATTCAATCCAGGGGGAGAAGAAGGGAGAGGAGGAGGGAAATGGGAGCAAGGAGGATGACCGCTAGCCCGCTGGGACGGGGTGCCACGCGTCATCGACGTCGCGCCACTGCCCGTTGTCCCACGTTTGCGTGTGGACATACGCGCCCGCGCCATCGTTGTCTTGTCCTTGAACGCGCGTGAACCTGCTCATGGGGACCATGCGGATCGTCCTACCCATGTAGTCGTGGCCGACGTAGTCGCCCGTCACCGTGCTCCACAGCACGGTCGACTTCAGGTAGGGGGTGTTGTTGGGGCGTCGGTGGCTGCCCATGTAGCAGTCGAAGCTCACCGTGCAACCAGTTGGACTGAAATTCACTTCCCCGTGCCATGGCGTTGTGTGAGAAGTTGATTGCCATATCACTAAGGTGGAGCGGCTGTCGACCCACAGGATGCCCCGATGATGTCTACTACGGTCATCTGCGTGGCGAAGGCCGAGGTTATTGTATTCCCAGCACGTCAGGGTCGGGGTGGCCATCGCAAGCGCAGCAACGGTCTGAAGAGAAGCGCCCCAGGTTGGCCGTTCAATTGCTGCTGGCTCGGGGGCCAAAAATGGCTATGGAAGGAACGGGCATTTGGCATTTAGACATGTTATGTTGTAGTTTGTTGCCGCGCATCCTCCCCCTCCTCCCCCATCTCCCCACCCACCAGCTTTCTCTCCCTCTCCCCGCCCACCCGCACGGCTGGGCAGTGTTCCCCGCGCTTCCCTGGGAGCGTTAGTTTTAGTTTTAGTTTCAGCAATAGTTTTAGCGTTAGCTTTAGCTGTAGCTTTTAGTTTGAGCTTAGCTTTAATTTAGCTTAAACTCAGCTTTAGCTTAGCTTTATTATAGTTTAGGTTAGCGCCATCTTAGCTTTAGCTTAGCTTTAGTTTAGTTTTAACTTAGCTTTACTGTTACTACTAACGCTGCGTTTCTAGGCGATTCAATTCCTATGTTGGATCGCGCTGGCCTCAAGAGGATCCCTGAGGCCCCATGAAGCTCCAAAAGGCGCCCAAGAGGCTCTCAGAAGTACCAGCATCCATGAGGCCTCCGACCCACCACCCGCGCACGGTGGCGGGACGGGCCGACGGCCACTGGATAAATGCTGAGTGATTGGGGGGGGGGAGAGAGAGAGAGGAGGGGCGAGGGCGAAGGAGGATCATAGCAGTCGGCCGCAAAGAAATGTTCAAACACATGTAAATAAATGCGGGAAGGATTCAGTGAGGGCGCACATCCTGGCAAGTGCGCGCGCAGGCGGACATCCGTTTGCAACCATTTTTCGATTTTCGCGCCATCAACTCGAATGACTCGGGCAGCTCAGGCATTGCAGCGCTCAATTCAGCGTCGGAATTGCGGCCC